TGAGAAAGTGATTAAAAAGTATTGTGTGAAAAGTTGATAAATTTTACAATAAAATTTGGTTGAAATTTTGTTGGACTACTAAGTTTTATGTATTTGGTAAGAAATTAGTATCTGAAAAGTTAATAAGGAAGTTGTTAAGTGGATCCTGCATGTGAAAAGTTAGGGGAAACCCTTTTTATTTTTCTTAAAGTGTAGAAGAAAATTTTATGAGGTAAGAATCATGTAAAAAAAAATAAAAACTAATAATTTCACTTTTACCCTTTTATTATAATATTAATGTGCAAAAATATATAAATAATCTTGTAAAGGGAAAATTAAAGGTTAAACTCCCTTGAAATATGAATAAAAAAAATCAACAAAACACCTATTATTTGAAAACGTAGGGAGCATAAATTACTTTTATATGTTAGAAAAATTAGAAAAGAATCTGCATTTTGATATAAAACTCTAAAATAAGAATAAAATAATTAATTTTTTATAAAGTGTTTTTTTCTTTTGGCAATAATTAGACCCTTCAAGATTCACAATAAAAATTCTTAGATTTTTTATGCTTCATTTAGTGCGTGTAGTATAGTTGTACGATTATTGTTTTTAAAATTTAAATAATTAAAATTAAAAATTAAAATTATTAATCTATTGAGTATAAAATTTTGAAATAAATAACTAAAATTTTAAACTTAATTAATATAGAAAATTGATTAATTTTATTTTATAATTTAAAATTTTTAACAATTAAAAAAAATTCAAAATTACAATTATACTCATTTAACATGAATTAGCATCTATATAAATTTATGCTATTAAACCGAAAGCATTCATTAAAAGTACATCTCATGTCACTTTCACAACTCTCCCTAAATTTATTTATTATTTTTTGACATGTGGTGTGCAGTTCTTTACACTGTATATTTCTTTCCTCTCACTTTTTCTTTCCATTAATTTCACCTTTATATCCTTCGGGTGGAGTTAGGCCACATGCTTTTTTATTTAACTGGTCTTTTTTGCAGGGTTATTCTTCACTTTTTTTGTATTTTTTATATTTGTTTGGGTAGCTTAACGAACTCACACACTATTAAAGTTTTGAACTACTTCAGTCCTTGAAAAATCTTGGAGAAGTATCTTTGAGGGATACACTACGATGCTCAAATTAACAATATTTGATAATCTAGAGAGAAGCTCTCAAGATTGAAATATTTTGGAGAAAACACTATGACGTTCAAGTTAATAATATTCGATATTTTACAATAAAAAGTTCTCAAGACTAAAATATTACAAAGAAAGAGAAGCGTAGTGTAGTTATTACCTTGCATGGAAATAGATGAGGGTATTTATAGCCTTTTTTATGACACCAATGCCACATGTCATTTCCCTACCAATCCACTTGTCCCAAGTTATGTGAGTGTATTATGATTACTTGGTTTGCATCTTTGGGCTTTGCATGGGCTCTTTGGGCTAATGTTGGGCCAACTCCCCCAACATTACTCCTTCCTCAGTGTTGGATTAACAAAACACTGTAACAGTAACACGGCCCAATATTGGCTTTGATGAGCTGATCTCAATGAGATATACAATAGGTTGTGAGTTGATATGGTGATCACATCAAAAAAATCATACAAGCTCAAACTTTGTGAGCTAACCATTGGAAGAGTGTAGAAACTCATTCGAATTTAAGTGTTTGACTAAAATTTGATGAGTTTATTCACTAAAAGACCAACAAGCTCGCTCAAAGAAAACTCAGGAGATTTGAGAAAATATCTTTTTTGGTTTCCTTGGAGAAATTACAAGCTTACATACAGGAGTTCTTACGAGCTTGCCCAACAAAACTTGTTGAAATTTGAGAGTGTATCTCAGGATATCTTTTGAGCTAATCCAATGGCAACAAAAATTTGAAAGTATATCTTAAGAGTTTTAAAATTTGAAAACATATCTCAAGAGATATGTTGAGGTTTGATCGTATCTCAGGAGATATTTTGAGATCTGATGCATTTATCCCTCCCCCCTTTATAAATGCTAACACAACATTCTAAGGGAGCTATAAGAAATTGCCACATAGGGCGCTTTTATTGGTCCTTATGGAGGCGTGGGTACGGCAACCAAGAAACGCATAATTTGGTAAGGAATGGGAAATAGAAAGTGCTGTACCAGACATTTAACCATTTGAATTTACTTTTGCTCTTCATCTGTCTTGTCTTTGTTATTTTCATCTGTGATTTTGCGAAAGTCACTAATGTTTAAAGAACCAGAGAAGCATGAACAATCGTTTACTCAATAGCCATCTCATCCATGAAAACATAAGTAATTATGAAATTTTTTAGAGAGTTGCAAGAAATTCAAGGTGACCAGGAGATGCAGAAGAAAAGGTAATGGTTGTGTCACCCATCATTATGGTAGTGCTGCCAGACTTACAAGACAGGCCTTATATTGATGCAATGTTGGAGCTAGAGAGTAGCCCTATTTCTTCATCTAGCAAAATGGGAATTATTAAGGAAGAAAGAGATAAAGAAAAAGAAGAACCCATAACCATTGACATAATGACAGAAGTGGAGGTCACATATGCCTTGGAAGAATGGGGAAAAGTGCCTCTGCACGCCAATTTGGCTAGCAATATTTGAGAAACATTGACGAATTTGGTAGCTGCATTCAAGTTTAAGGCTGCCCTACACCACGAGGTAGCAAATGGTAAAGCCACCATCAAAGGGCTGAAATAACTAGATTTAGTGGCGAGGGAATACCAAATTCCTTATATTGTACTTGTTTGAGCTGCCTTAGCAAATGAACGGGGGTGCTTAGTGGCTGCAAATGGTTGGATGCCTTTGTGTTTGGATGATTTTGCAGCTGACTTGCAGTTCCTTATGCCAAAGATGCGTTTTGACATGCTGGCAGAGTATGGTTTGGCACTGACGCAGCTAACTCCAAACTTGATAAAATTTATCAGAGGGTTTATGTTGTTATGTGCAAACCTACAAATTCCTATGAAGCCGACGGTGTTCCAATCTTTTTTCAATGCAAGTTGGTGAATAAGAAAACTATGTGGTTTTACATTTCAAGCTAAGCCAAGATGATTATATTCCACAACATGAAGAATAAAGTGGCAGCTTGGAAGAGGTAGTACATTTTTGTTCAAGATACAAAAACGGAATGGGTTGATAACAAGCTCACTACTTGTCTTTCTGATTGGCACTCTTTGAGCTCATACATGAACTACCTAATCATTGGATCCATAGACATTGAAATACAAAATAGGATTCTACACCATATAAATGGAGAGGAACGGTGGATTTGGATGCCCTGGTTAGTCCTTTACAACTAAAAGCATTTGGGTTTGTGGACGTGGCGTACTTTTACATCCTAGGTATATGTTTATTTAAAAATAAAAAGAATCATACCGACATGAATCTTATTGCTTTTATTTGTGTAGAAGAAATGGCTAGTGGACTAGGCAAGCAACACGAGTGAGCTTAGGGCTTATGTAGCAGGCTTGAGGGTTCCACCACCCAGTGGGGAAACTCGAGGTGATCAAAGAGGTTATGTCACTTTGACGAGCCGCTAGTGACTATGTTTGTTACTCGTAGCTAGCCAACCTCACACAGCTCATCACAACATGGTAGGACTAGTGACAATTCAATAGAAAGGTGAGCTAATGCCAGAGACATTGCTCCAAGTGATTCTTGCAAGAAAGTGTGAGAGGAAGGAAAGGTTGCTGATGTGAGAGCTTTTTCCCAACAATGGGTTATGGGGGAGGTTGCTACCTTTAGTACTGTGCTAGTTGGTGGTATTCAGGTTGGGACTTTTAAGATGCAATGGGCAGTTCCAAAAATTACATACCAAGAGGGCTTTAGCTACATAAAAAATGAGTGCCATCCAACCCTGCTGTAAGGCATGCATGATTTGGTCCCCTTAGTAAATTAACATAGAGTGAGGGAATTTGTTCGTTAGCATAAGGGGAATGCCACTATAGTGAAACTAATGAATGCAAGTGACAAGCTATGGCTATGTGTGTTTTTTTATTTATGTTTTTGCGAGTTGTGGTGACATAGCAGGCTGAATGATAGGTTTTTTGGTAGTGGGGCCTTTGTTTAAGAGCAAGGATGTGATCAAGGCGTAGGCAAGTAAGGTGGTTGATAACTGCAAACATGTTGTTTTGAAAAAGATGAAGTTATAGAAGGTAGTTGAAGTTGTTCCAAGGTTTGTTGGACAACATGACCAAATCATTTTGCAACTCCATTAACATGGCACGAGCTCAAGGGGTGGAGTGGTTCCTTAAGTCAGACACCTTTCAACAAGCTGTTGCAATTGCCACCATGAGTAACACCATCGATATTTATAACAAGGTTCGTGACAAAGTATTGTAGCACTAGCTGGACATCCCTATTGACAAGTTGCCCTTCATTGAGGGTGAAGAAATAGATGAGTAGGTAGAAAGCTTGGCTCCACTTGTCAACACAATTGTAAATGTAAAGTGGAGCCTAGACAGTGAAAATGCACCCTTGTCCCCTTTTACTTCACTCAATGAGGGTCAGAAGTTTAATCCCTCCACAAGCTACGTTAACTAGGTGGCTGGGTGCCCACTTTGGAAGAGGGACCTTTTCTTCTTCTCTTCTTGTAGTTTGTCCTCCAACTTAAATAGATGCCCTTACAGCACTTT